TGGGGAATCCAAATTTTCAAAATCTTTTTCTTTGGTTACTGAATTGAGAGAGCGAAATCCATCGACTGAATACAAATGAGGAAGTGGACGATCCCTTCCGTCCTGTTTCTGTTATGCCTTTTGTTCCTTCTTCCATGTCAAGGTCGGAGGATACAAGCAAATGTGGAAGCTGAATCTGACATCCCTGTTGATCCGCCAAAGGTTGAGGAAAAATTTGGTGCTATTCTGCACGGTTTATCAATTGATTCTGATGTCGTTAAAAGGAAATCGGAGTCTATGTCAAGGAAAACTATGCGATGGAAAAAATTGAGGACAATGGATATCTTTGGAATTATGTTCTTCCATTTTTTGTTGTCTAGGGATTTTTTTCTTAGCTAGGTCTAGGTCTAGGTATAGGATTTAGGTATTATTTTATAGGGGGTAGGAATTAGGTTAGGTCAAATGCGCATTAAGTATGAGCTCAATATTTTTTGGGCTATCCGAAATTGGGCCTTTTCAATTAAGACCAAACAAAATTAGCCTCAAATTTCATACTCTTTCTTTTTAAACAAGACCAAAAATACTACACCATTTACTAATTAATCCTACTTAAGTAAAATAATTGTTAAAAAATAAAACTAACCGTTAAAACAAACTTGTTTTTGGTATTTTTCAAATATCATACTAAAAGATAAAAAATAGAAAAATTATTGTAAAATTAAGATAATATTCCTGGAACTATTTTTGTATTTTTGAATTTTATGTAAGGTAGATAAATTAAAAGTAACTAGATAAAAATATTAATTAGCTAAATAAGAGAAACTATTTTTGTAATTTTCATTTTGTGATAAAATAAAGTAAAAGAGTCAAAATTATTTAGAATAGCGATACTAAACCTAAACTAAATATCTACGCTAAAATGTGTAAAATCTTGGGGAGGGTCAAAAATTACGCATATGCGGCATCGCAGGTGCGGTGACTGGGGTGCGGATGCGATCCTGGTTGTTTAAGTAGAAACCGAAGGTGCGGTTGGTTGGACCGCAGAAGCGGTTGCACAGGTGCGATATTTGGACCGCAGATGCGGAAGTTCTGGGCAGAAAGTATATAAGTTCCCCTTCGCGAATTTCAGTCATTCTTCCACCATTTTTGAGCGGTTTTGGAGATCCAAGCAGTGATTTCAAGAGAGAATCGAGGGATTGTAGTTAAGTAAGCTACTTGGGCCTTGTATTTTGTGTTTGTGATAATTTTTCCACTGCCTAATCATGAAATTAGTGGGGAATTTGGGGTGAAGTTGAAGGTCTAGGGCTTGAGTTTTGGAAAATTTTGATTGGGGATTTGAGGGGCCATTTGAGGTCCGATTTTGATGGTTTTCATATGTATAGACTCGTGGGTGAAAGGAGTTTCTAGTTTTGTAATTTTTGTTGGATTCCGAGACGTGGGCCGGGGGGCCGGGTTTGAGTCCAGTTCGGGATTTTTGGTTTAATTTGATTATTTTCATGTGCAATTCGTTCCTTAGCGTATATTGACGATAATATACTGATTTTGGTTAGATTCGGAGCATTTGGAGGCTGAGTCGAGAGGCAACGGCGTTGCGGGTTAAGTTTTGTCCGGTTTGAGGTAAGTAATGACTGTAAATCTTGTCCTGAGGGTATGAAACCCGGATTTCACTACTTTGAGGTGATGCACACGCTACATGACGAGCGTGAGGGCGTGCACCGTTGGGGATCGTGACTTGGTCCGTCCTGTAGCAATTATTAAGTTGCGTATTTGACTGGAAACTATTTGATATTTTTGTATTTTAGAAAGTATTACTATGTTGTAGGCTGAATGCCATATTTGGGCCTCGTGCCAAGCTGTTTGGACCCTCTGGGGCTTTTTACTACTAATCCTCACTGTTTGGATTACTGTACTCAGTCATGCTATGTTTTTACTGATTTCATAACTCAGTCTTATTTACTCTGATTTGATGAATAAAATGATATTTTTGGGCTGAGCACCCTGTTTTACTGTTAGCCCGAGTGGCTTGAGAGGTTTCTGACAAATTAAGGCCGAGGGCCTGTGTTGTGAGGATATCATGGGATCGGGTTGCGCGCCGCAGCATGTTGTACTAATTTATGATATATGAGAGGCCGAGGGCCTGATTCATTATGCCACGAGATGGCCTATAATAGGGCTTGGGTTGTAAGAGCCCCTCCGGAGTCTGTACACCCCCAGTGAGCGCGGGTACCCTGAGTGAGTGATATGATGTTGCCCGAGGGGCTATTTATGGTTTTCATCATTTTTTTACTCTAAATTTTATTGAACTTCTATTGAAACTGTTAAAAAGATACTTTCCAAAGGATTTTTACTGAAATTGGGTTTTAACGAGATGATTTGACTTGTATACTGTTTTGAAAACATACTGTACTTACTGTGGTGTTATGACGTGGATTTATGTGTTTATTACTGCTCAATCTTTATTTACTTTTATTACTTACTGAGTTGGCATACTCACATTACTCCCTGCACCTTGTGTGCAGATCCAGGAGTTGCGGGTCTTGATAGCGAGCGCTGATCCATCATCCGTCGCGGATACCCGGAGTCGGCAAGGTAGCTGCATGGCGATCGTAGCCTTGCTCTTCTCCCTCTTATCTTCCTTAGACTGTTTTAGTATTTTCCAGACTGTGATAGTCTTTGTTGTATTCAGACAGTCTTTAGTAGATGCTCGTGACTTGTGACAGCCCGATGCCGGGCTTGTGTTTCTTCCGCACTTGTTATTTAGACTCATGTTATGAGATTTTATTTAATTAATAGCTTAAAACATCTTTACTTTGAAATATTGGTTTGATTTGGGATTGTGTCGGCTGGCCTAGTTTTATGATAGGTGTCATCACGACCGGGTTGGTTATGAGGTCGTGACAGTCCTCAAGGACCTCCTTAGACCATCTGCTGCAGGTTGACGTATAGGCGAAGGAATAGAAGGTAGCACATCTGCTGCAGGCTGAGGCAAAGAAGAAGAGTCAGTAGACTCATGTCTAGCAGGCACATGAGGAAGTGAAGGTTGCTGCTCTTCACTAGAACTGGGCAACTCAGGAGCCAAGAAGATTGGTGGTGATGTATCTGTGATGTCTTTGAAGGGAAATATATATTCCCTAAAGGATACATCCCTGTTGACAAAAAAATAATGAGAGTTGAGATCCAATAGAATGTAGGCCTTCTGAGTGTCAGAGCAGCCCATGAGAACAACTGGCTTGGCCCTGGGAAGAAGTTTGTATGTTTCATGAACTTTCCTAGCATAGCACAAACATCCAAGAATTTTTAAGTGACTCAAATTAGGTGCTTTCCCATACAATAGTTCAAAAGGAGAAAGACCATGAAGAATAGAAGATAGCATATTATTTATGAGATACACTGCTGCAAGTACACAATGCCCCCAATATTTGATAGGAATATGGGCCTAAAACCTTAAAGCTCGTGTGACTTCTAGGATGTGACTGTGCATTCTCTCAGAAACTCCATTTTGTTGAGGAGTATAGGCACATGTTCTTTGATGAATGATACCATATTTCTGAAACAATGAGGTGCAGGTAGAGTTGATAAACTCAGAGCCATTGTCTGATCTGACTGCGTTTACAACTTTGTTAAACTGAGTTTGAATGAGGACAATTAGATGAGTAAGCACCACGCATACATCATATTTGTGTTTCAATAAAAAAAAAATCCAAGTCATCCCGGTAATGTCATCAACCACTGTCAGAAAATATCTATTGCCATCATAAGTTGCACAGTTATATGGACCCCAAACATCAAGATGTATTACATCAAATGCAACAACAATCTTAATACTACTAGAAGGAAATGGTAGTCTAGCTTGTCGAGCACAAGGAAAGACACTGCAGTAGTTGATAGTATCAGTAATACTAGCTAGTTTTGGCAGCAAAAGATTTTCTAAGAACAATACTAGATACATGCCGTAGTCTTTTATGCCACAAGGCAACATCAATTGTAGTGTCACCCTACCTTGACTTTATTCCAGCAGCAGTTAATGATACTGCAGTGAGCCTTTTCCCACCATATCTCTGTAGAAAGTATAGACTATCTCTTTCTCTACCAATCTCCCTCACCCTGCCACTGAAGAGATCCTGAAAGAAACAGCAGTCAGGATAGAAGGAAGCAAAGCATTTAAGGTCTCTTTTCACTTTGGAGACTGATAATAAGCTGAACTCGAATTGAGGAACACATAATACATCTTTAAGTGTGCTTCTATCTGAAATATTGCTGTCGCTAGTGTGAGTCACTGGAGTGACATCTCCATTAGGTAACATAATTGTCCTAGGCTTAGAAGGAGTAACTATAGAAGTCTTAGCAAGCAAGTTAGCATCTGGCACCATATGATTAGTTGCTCCAGTATCAATAATCCATAATTATGGACTAGTAGACGCTAAGAGAGTAGTGCTAGTACATGCCACATTTGCTTGAGCATAGGAAGTAGAAGTTGAATTGTTCAGAATCTGCATTATCTGGTCATACTGGTCTTTAGTGAAAGGAAAAACACTTCTTTGAGCATGTGGAGAGGAATCTGTGTAAGGTCTCTGTGCCTGCATAGAGGAGGATCCTGCTATAGCTCGAGTGCTAGGATGACCCTGTGCATGATACAACAAGAGGATACTCAACTCCTTGATTCATGATTTGTTGAGGCTTTTGATATGTAGGCAAGGGAGGCATTGAAGATTGCTGAGAAACCTGGTGTGAAGCATTGTTGGAGTACACATGCATAGTGTATCCAGGTTTAACCATTGCATTATAGGCCCCAGCTCCCCCTTTCTTTTTGAATTTATGATCTGATGGATAATCTATTAGTTTGTAGCAGTTCTCTTACTGTGGCCCTTCATTTTGCAAAATTCACACTGAATATTGTAGTTCTTCCTAAATTTTGGATTGAAGCTAGGTTTAGCACTATATAGTGCAGTTGAATCATAAGAATGTGTAGCATTTACAACTGGTGAGGATCCTAAAATACCAGCAGAAGCAGCTACATCCCTTTAGCTTTCATCACTCATAAGCATTGCATATGCTTGATCAACTGAAGGTAATGGCTTCATCATTAGTATTTGACTACAAGCTTGATAATAAGAATCATTCAATCCCATTAGGAATTGATACACCTTTTGCTTTCGTGGATGAACAATAATCTCCTTTGTCTTGGCAGAATCACAATCAGGAGTGGGTATAATAGATTCAGATTCATCCCAAAAATCCTTGAGCTTCGAATAATAGACAAAGATAGAGGAAGTACCTTGACTTAGGGTAGCAATATCCTTGTGTAAATTGTAGCAACGAGTGTCATTCACTTTGTCAAACCTTTCTTATAAATCCATCCACACCTTCTGTGCATTAGTGGCATAAGCAATACCACTGATTAGGGCTGGTGCAACTGAGTTCATCAGCTATGACAACACAATTGCATTGCATCGTTCCCATTGATACCAATACTTTTCACTAAATCGTTCTTTTGGCCACCTGCCACCAACGATACCTAGTTTATTACGGCCAAGTAATGCAATCCGCATAGATTGATGCCATAAGGAGTAATTATCAGTACCAGTTAGTTGAAATGAAATAAAAGAGATTCCACTTGTGTTTCCCGGAGATAAGTATAATGGATGAGTGATTGCAACTGTAACACCTTCCTCAAATTCATCATAGGAGGATGCATGTGATACATTTTCAGCTATGACTGATGCATTTTCGTGATCCAAGTCATCAATCGCCATTGTTGAAAAATTTTGGGCCTCGAATAAGAGAAGTGAGATCTAAATTGTTTGAGACTGCAGAGAAGAAAACGGAGTAGAGGAGGAAGAGGAGGATCGATTTGTGAGCTTCTATTCAGAGCTCAAGCTCTGATACCATGCTGAAATGGAGATTGAGAGAGAGAATTAAGCCCTAATTAGCGAGAGAAAAGTGAAGAGATAAGAGAGGAGGAGCATCAGAATGAATGTAACAGTGGAAGAGGAAATGAATGCAATGTCTTTGCATTATCTTACTAACTATATATGTACACAACTTTACTAACTAATCTAACTATCTTTCTAACCAATCGCATGCATTGTTAACCGACTAACTAACTCACTAATCCGCTACCTCTTAAATAGACTAAGTTACCCTTTACTCAAGTTACATTATTTGTCTCAACAATAGGCTTACCCGACGTAAACTCGCATTAGCTGAACATATGGATTCCGTCCCGTTCTGATCAGCTACTCATGCGTCCCATTTAATAAGTGTTTTAGTTTGTCGTAGGGTTTAAGATCAAGGAAAAGGAGAATTTTGAAACTACTAATAGCCTGTTTGGCCATTAATTTAACAAAAACTTCTGAGTAGTAATTAATGTTTCACCAAGCTTTTAAAAATTGCTTCTAAGTGTATTTTTCTCAAAAGTGCTTTTGGAGAGAAGCTAATTTTTTTCTACTTTTTCAAAAATGCTTCTACTTTTCCTCAAAAGCACTTTTTTTTCATCCAAAAGATTGGCCAAACACTTCAATATTTTTTAAAAAAAACACTTCTAGGATCGGAAAAGCTTGGCCAAAGAGGCTATAAGTAGTAGTTTTAATTATACCATTATACTTTTGTGATTGTAAGACTATAGCAGTATCACTGAAGGTACGTTGAAAAAGTTTGAAATTAAATTATTTTTAATATAAAAGATGTCATTTTTTTTTTAAAGAAAAAAATATATCACATCAAATGAGATCGAAGGACTATAAAAAACATAGAGGTGGAGACTAGGGTTAAAGTTTATGGATCGAAATTTTATTCTTTTTTATAAATTACAAATTTTAAATCAATAATTTATATATATTTTAATAATTCTTTTAAAATAAATATAAAATTTAAACCAAAATTAATGAATTCGATCGAAAGTCCACCCTGAAAAAACATACCAATATTTTTAAAAAAGTAATGCTTATCTAGAATCCTTTAAAATGTGAATCTTAGGAGAGATTTGATAACCCAATATCGCAGTGTCATTTCCATCTAAAATCACGTACGTATCCTGTAGGGAGCTTGTGCGGGCCATGATTATGAATCTTGCCATGCATGTTTCATATGTGTAGCCTGGAGAGAGTAGCTTAGTAGCTAGGTCTCACTGGCTTCTCAGTAATCTTTTTTAATCCTCTCTTTAAATTTGCAGGAAGACTATAGATATTAGAGCCAGTTCAGTTGAGCACCCAAAGGTTTGTACTCTGAGGCTAAAAATGAACCCCAAATTCAATATACACAATATTGAGTCAGTGAGTCAGGATTAAGCTGGACTTATCCAGGGTGCATCAGGAAAGGAGAGACAAGATAGATTCAAAGAGTGACAGAGCCAGAGTAGACGAAATTGTGATATTCTAAACTAAAGACTGAAGAGATTATTATTATATTAAAGGCAAAAGTTGTAGAGTGAAAAGACGTTAGCATGGTGCATGGCACTGCCACCATTAGTGTAGCAGAGAACTACTCGATCCAGCTCTTTTCTTAGAGAAAGAGAATAGGAATTAGGACGTACTCGTAGGAGTATAAATGTAGATGTGGTCCATAAAAATTTTTCCTTAGTCAAAAAGTAAGGCTTCTATTGTTTTTTTTTTGTTTAAAATAAACATCATCTATATCACCTTTTGTAACAGTCATTGTCATACAGAAGCTTGAAGCTGGGAGCTCCGAGCCGGCAGTCTCTTCTTATTAATTGCCATGTTAAGAATATTACATATTTTACCCTTAACATGAATAACAATTAAATTTATGAGCGGTTTTAAGGATATGTGGATTGATTTAACAGAAATAATCAAGAATATTTGATAAATGAGTTAAAGACAAAATGAATAATCAAACCAAACGTAATGTTACGGCCTAATTCGAACTTAGGTTGAACAGTGATTTTGCCCTCGATCGGACCCTTAGATCGAAGCCAATTGTGAATGAAAAAGAAATAGTAAAGTAAGAACTTGACAATAGCAGGAAAGCAGAAAGATGAATTTGTATTGACTTGGTTTGCGTGTTACAATGTGTGTTATCAAAGAAAAGATCCCCCTTTATATAGTATGAGAGTTTCACCCCTACTACATATCTAAAAAAGGTTAAATCTTCCTTTCTTATTAATTACTGATCCATAACGGTCATCGAGCGAGATCTGCGCCGTGATATATGGTTGGTTGCGAATATCACGACCCTCTATCCGTCGTGTATAATCATTCCATTGTGCTTCCTGAACTCGTTCCGAGTCCAGGGTGCGTCGTTTTATCATGTCCGATGGCGAGCACTTCGTTAACTTTTCACGGGCCTCGATACAAAGAGTATCCAACTTTGATTTCGATCCCGTGTGTTCATGCTCTCACCTCATTTTATTCACTGGGAAATCGAGGTGTGTGTTATCCCCGATTTTGCCCATATACAGATAGTCCCTCATTTTTCGGAGCGTAGGTTTGCTGAAACAAAGGGAAACGATAGATGAACCCCGGTTCCTTCTTTCATACATTACAACCGAGGTAACGGATAAGCCGAAATGTCCCGTCAGTCGTGTCGTTCTAAATTTGGACACGTGTCAGTCACTGGTTGTTTTTCCCCTATAAAAGCTTCGACCTTTTGCATTTCTTTCACTTTTTGATCATAGCTTTTACTTTCAAATTTTTCAACGGCTATTAACTTTTTCAAATCTCCATACCCTGCTTCTTGAACCTTTATATCTTCATCTCTTTCTTCAAATCTTCATATTTTTCCAGATCACGATGGCTAAAACTTCAAAATCTATACCGCAACAAGCGGCTCCCTCATCTTCCCATCCGGCCACAGGCGTCGAGGTGGCTGCCCCCGAGGTGGCTCACGAGCCTCCTTTGAAGAGCTTCATACCTGGGGTTTGCTCTATCATGGATGATTTCAAAGTCAAGAAGGCCACTAGCCAACAAGACAGAGGCGAGGGAGCATGGAGATACATATTCTCCGTCATTGAAGATACCCTTCCCAGAGTCCGGGAGGACTGTAAATGGGAAGGTAAAGACATGGCCGTCCTCGGGCCTAATGACGATATTACTACCCACGCGGAGGGTCAAGTAAGCCCCTTTCTCGAGCATTGACGAGGATCGAGACCGAGGTTGGTAAGGGAAGACCTAATCCCTCCCGAATTTCTGCCGTTCCTCGAGAAATGGAACACATCTCGTAAGTGTCGTCTTCCTTAAGTATTATCTTCTTTTTATTTCTTCTCTCATTTACTGTATTTACGGTCGTGCAGCTGTTTGCCCAAGTTCCTGATGCAATCCTCCGGTTCAAGGAGTGGATTGAAAGGATTTGTAAGCAGATGTCGTACTCCGAGCGCGCGTGGCGCAAACTTTCGAACGGCAAATGAGAGGTCCGTTCTTATGGTGAGGTTCTTCACTGAATAGTTACCACTACACCCCCAACTTACACAATGCTAACCTTTTCTCTCATTTTATAGCTCTGCCTATGACCACCGAACTTAGGCCACTGGATGAGGACGAGGATACGTCCTTACTCGTCGAGCCCTCCATTTTGGGACAGCCCGGGGCTACCATGGAGGAGGAGAATAAGAGGAAAAGAAATTCCTCGGGTTCCCCGGATCCCAAGGTGAAGAGGAAGAAGAGGCATCCACCCGGGTCCGGAAGCCGAAGAAGAATACCAAGTCCAGAGTACTGGACCCCGACTTTCTCTACCGGCTCAGGGATGAGCCCGAAGAAGATGACATCTTCGTTGCCCATGGATCGACCCCTACTGGGGAGCAGGCGACTACCGATAAAGGGGGCCACGAGGTCGATCCCTTTCTGACTCGGGAAACTGAGGGGGAGATGGAGGCTCCAACCTCCCAGGAAATCGTTCCTATTCTAAAAGAGGCGACCGATGTGATTGACATCATGGAGACACCCTCCTATACCGAGTTCATTCTCGAAGAGGCCCAAGCGGGCAAAGAAAAGTCAATTGAAGGAGTACAGGGTTCAGATGATCCCCTCAACTCCATTTTTGACAGCATGGGCATGCCCACATTGGAGGGAATTTTCGTGCTGAGTCACCTGGAGATCGCGAAGAAGGACGTGCCCCTCGAGAGCTGGCGGGACGAGTTCGATCCCAAAACTAGTGAAGCAATTTCTTGCGCCGAGTGTAGAACTCGGGCGCAAGAGAACAATCGTTCTCACAATCTCGGAAGATGCTCGGGTTATGTCTGCTTCGGTGGATGTAGCCAGCTACCTCCGATGCCTGGTGATCGGGGGGGCCAGATAAAGATGAACGAGGTGGGCACGTCAAGTCTTTTTAACGAGGCGTAGAAGGTGCTGAACCGAGTAAGGCATTAACACCTTCATACCCCTTTATGAATTCCATTTAGGTTTTCCTTTGATGCCTCTTACTAATTTCATCATTTTACTGGCTTCAGCGCTTCACCAAAGCTTCCTCTGGTTATGCTTGGAAATCAGCCAGCTCGAGTTCGAGCTCAAAGAGTAGGTCCGGAAGAAGGACATGTACATGGCTCTTAGTGAGCAACAGGACGAGGCCCTTAAAGACCTCCCGATTTTCTAAGCTGAGATAGAGAAGGCTCAGAAGGAAACCTCGACCCTAAAGCGGGAACACGCCAAACAGGTTAAGAATGTAAAGGTCTTTGAAGCTAAAAACGAGCAGATAGTCGTGGTGACTAACAACACAACTTTCCAGGTCCAACAAAATCGGTTCAAGGGAAAAAAAGTGCAACACCTACTTTCAGACCTAATAGACACATTCGTCCTTGTCCGAT